AGAACAATGTGCCAACATCATCATTTCTTTTTTTTCAATTTTTATTTATTTTTGAGAGAGCGAAACACAGCACAAGCAGGGGAGAGGCGGAGAGAGAGGGAGGACACAGAATTGGAAGCAGGCTCCAGGCTCTGAGCTGTCAACACAGAGCCCGACACGGGACTCGAACCCACGAACCATGAGATTATGACCTGAGCCAAAGTCAGAAGCTTAACCGACTGAGCCACCCACGTGCCCCAACATTGTCATTTCTCACCCCTGTTGTCATGCCTCATGGAAAATCTAGCCTCAGTCCGTTGTTTTAAGAGACCAGTGTATTGTGCTTCCTTATTTTCCCTTTACCTCCATGCTCCCATCCAGATATAATCTCAACAGGCTCTCTGCCTTGAGACTCTACTTTGTTGCTGTTGCTCATTCACTCATTCAACACAGCATCAACTATGTGCCAGGCACTGTGTTAGGCGCTCAGAAAAAGAATGGGAAAAAAACAGCTAAAACTCCTGCCTTCCTGAGACTTATAGTCTAGCTGGAGCTCAGATATTAATCAGTCACAGAGATAAAAGGCCATTCTAGAAGGGTTTTGGAGGAAAGGAACATGGTGCTCAGAGCTTATAACGGAGGCCTGCCCCGGGTTTTGGGACACTGGTCTGGACAGATGGGAAGAGAGTATGGCTGCATTGTTGATTGAATGTTGTAAGGTACCTCTGATATTCGTTAGAGCTGACCACAAAGAATTAACCCCTTTGCACCCCACTGGTGCTTCGGTAAGTGCACCCCATCTGGTTGACTGCTTGTTCTCTTGGCCCCCTTCAGATTGGTTTGCCCCATTAAAGCCAGAGACTGTGGATTTGATCATGCCATGTCCCTGCTTAAAACCTTCAATAGCTACTCAGCGCCCTTCAGATAAAGACCAGTATCCTTAACGTGGCCTCCATGCCTTCCTCCATCTGGCTGCTTCTTGCCCCTGGTCTTACCCCTCTCCTCACTGCCACTTACATGGAACCTGCCCCAAGGCAGACCCAGCCACGGTGGCTCTCCCCACTTCCTCAGACACTCGGGCTCTTTACACTTACTGTTCCTACGCTCTGAAATACCCTTTTCACTCTCTTTTTTGAACCCATCATTCCTATGCCATCTCAAAGGAGTTTTCCTCCAGGAAGGCTTTCCTGACTCCCTGCTGGAATATATTCCCGGCAGTAGACACATGTGGTCCCACGTCCATCCTCTTGAAAACACTTGTCCCAGGTTACAGTATTTCTGTGGCATTATTAAAGAGTGGCGTCATGGAGGCATGAAGGCTGGATCTGCATCTGTTTTGCTCACCACTGTTGCTGGTGCCTGGCACAGTGGGCACCCAGAGAAAGAACGAACGTGATCATGAAGAAGAGTATAAACATTACAGCTGGAAGGGCAACCTCCAAATTTTTCAATTCAGTTCTATGTACAGATAAGACATTGGAGACCCAGAGAAGGGAGGTGACTGACCCAAGATCACACAGCAAGTTAGTAGTAGGTCCACTGGCCTGGACTATGGTTTACAGCTCCTGCCTCAATACTATACTCCAGAAACTTCCTCCCTTTGCCTTAAAACTTTGACGTACTTTGAGACGCAGACCTGTAACTGAGACACAGTGTGTTAGGTAGACAGAGAAACTATCTGCATTAAACATTATAGATTTTCAGGTAAATTCTTTAGTTCATTAAGGCTCATAAGGCCTGAGGATTTAGCTGAAGCTTTTCCTCTTTGATTGATTTTTAAATGAACTCTAAGATCTCCACTGAGTACCGGTTCCCAGGCACAGAGGAGCAGGCCACATCCCTTGCCTGTGAAGCAAGCTCTTAGCCCTTTTTCTTTCTAAATGGGTTCATTACGTTGGCGGTAGGTGGAGACCACGTTCCTGACATCTCTCCTCCCCGAGGAAGGCTTTGTAAAGAAGCAGGAGGCAGTGATATGTCCCCGAAGCAATGTCGTTTCCTGGCGAACGAGGGCATTTCCCAAAGTCCCAACAGGGAAGCCAACATCGGTTCTGCCTTTTGAAGGTTAGTTGTGCACCTTCTTAAGTGTGACCGGTACACAGCTCACAAGTATCAGATGTTCCCTCTTTATGGCTATGAAGCGACAGCCTCACCACCTTGTTTTACACCCCAGAACCACGTAGCTTGTGTCCATTTCCAAACGGTGGGTACTGGCACAGAGGTAAACTGTTCTTCATGGATGCTTTGGTACCAGGACCCAGCCAACCCCAGCAAAATAACCAAGGGCCTTTCACCAGGCAGGGGAGACCCCTAGGGAAGGAAGGAACCAGAGTGAAGTTAAAAAAAAAAAAAAAAAAAAGAGGAAAGAAACACCCCTTTATAATCAACCAGTTTGAGTTAGCGAGAACAAGCTCCTATCCCTCTCTGGAGTCTTGGTTTTTTGGTCTACACAATAGACTGAATATAATGCCTACCTTCTTCATTCGTTCACTTCTAAAGTGCCCGGCTCTGTGTCAGAGATGAGTGATGTTGTGGGGAACAAGACAGGTCCAGTCCTGATGGAGTTTACATTTTAAGAAGGGAGACCTGAAATTCACCCAATACTTGTTTGGTTTTAAGTGAGTATCATTGAGAGGATAAAATGGGATCTAAATCATGGTTAAAGTGTAAGTGTCAGACATCATGGCAGGTACCTTGTATATAATAACAACCACCATGGTGGGGTTCCCGTCCACGGTGGTGACCTGGGAAGACCCTGAACTCCCCTCCTCCATGAAGACAACTCAAATCTGCATCCATTTATGGAACAATTCCTCCTGAAGAAGAACTGAGGGCTGACCGAATAGCTTCTGCATGACAAAAACTGAAAAGAACACACAGACAACAGTAGGAGATGGGGGCAGGGTGATGGAGGGGACCCACACCCCCAAGGCCCCCAATTGCAGTCAGAACGGATAGTATTGAGGGACCCGGAGCAGATTCACCACCCCTGCGGCACAGAAAAAAGCTACAATTTAAAAGAGCAACTAGGAAAACAAAAGAGCAAGTAGAATACAAAGGGACCAGCCTTCGAACGCACCAGGCAGCTGGCATGGGAGTTGCTGGAATTCTCTCTGGGTTCTCAAGGCTGGTGGGCAGCACAGTGTATATTCCCTCCATGTGACAGGAGCAGGGTCTGGCCTCAGCAAGCCTGGGGGCCCTAGTCCCCCCAGCCCCAACCTGCCCCCCACCCCCTGCCAGGCCCCAGTCCTGTGCACACCTGGTTGGAGCTCACTGTAGCTCTAGCTGCTGTGACAAGGTGACACAGGTGCCGAGCACACCAGAATAGACCAAGTGGACAGCACTTTGGCTTTGGGTAGTTTGAGCTAGAGCACCCCCATCGCACAGTTACCCGCGACCTCGTGGCCCGCACCTGCTTCAGCCCCAGATCCCCCTCCTATGCTAGGGGGCTCCCCTGTGCACACCCTGCATGAACTGCCTCAGGGCTCCCCACCCAGAACCTCACCTCGGCTCTACTCACCCCGCTAGGGCACCCCCTGCTGGAGCATGCTGAGACACCCTGACTTGCAAGAGTTGGTGAGGATGTGGAGAAAGAGGAAAGCTCATGCACTGTTGGTCGGAATGTAAATTGAAGCACTCTGGAAAACAGTGTGGAGGTTCCACAAAAAATTAAAAATAGAATTACCATATGATCCAGTAATTCCTGTACTGGGTATTTACCGAAGAAAGCAAAATACTAATTTGAAAAGATATATGCACCCCCAGTAGCCAAGGTATGGAAGCAACCTAGGTGTCCATCCAGAGATGAGTGGATAACAGACATGTATGTGGGTGTATACACACACACACACACGAGAATATTACCCAGGCATAAAAAAGAATGAGATCTTGCTATTTGCTACAACATGGAGGCTATTATGCTAAGTGAAATACATCCGATAGAACATGACAAATACTATATGATCTCACTTATATGTGGAGTCTCAGAACCCAAACAAATGAATAAATAAACAAAAAGCAGAAATGGACTCATACATACAGAGAACCAACTGATGACTGCCAGAGGGGAGGGAGGTGGGGTCACGGGCAAAAGGGGTGAAGGGGAGTGGGAGATACAAGCTTCCAGTTATGAGGTGAATAAGTCCTAAGATAAAAAGCAGAACATAGGGAATATAGTCAATGGTATTGTAATAGCATTTATACAGACAGATGGTAGCTACACTGTGGTGAGCATAGCATAGCATACAAACTTGTCAAATCACTGTGTTATATGCCCGAAATGAATGTAACATCATGTGTTGACTATACTTCAATTTAAAAAGTCAAAAAAATAATAATAACCATAATAACAAGCCATCTGGCATTACTCTGGTCCACTTTTTAAAGTGGTTATCATATATTAATCCATTTAATTCTCCCTTAGAAGTACTTATGATGTAGGGGCACCTGGGTAGCTCAGTTAAGTATCCGACTCTCCCTTTCGGCTCAGGTCATGATCTCACGGTTCATGAGTTCAAGCCCTGCACTGGGCTTCTTGCTGACAGGCAGAGTCTGCTTGGGATTCTCTTTCTCTCCCTCTGTCTCTGCCCCTCCCCTGCTTGTGTTCTTTCTCTCTTTCAAAATAAATAAACTTAAAAAAAAAAACCCACCTCTGACATAGACTGCTATTATCCCATCTTATAGATGAAAACACTGAGGTACCAAGAGATTAACTTGATGAAAGAAACGCAGCCATTAGGTACCAGAGAAAGAACTCAGGCAGTTTGAGCACAGTCTATATACTATATCTACCTCTCATGATATTACCACCCGATTTAATCATTTTAACAACCTCGTAAGTACTATTGTTACTTTTCTTTTCCACATTTGGCCAAAAAAAAAAAAAAAAAAAACCATGCATAAGTGACTTCTCTGAGTCCCTCCCGTGGTACCCAGAATGGCAGTGAGCCCAGCCCTGGGCCTCAGGAGACGGGCATTTCCATGACTAAGTCCCTGATATCTTTCCTGTCCCTGTTCTTGCTCAGGTGTTCCTGAAGAGTGACCGCGTGGCCCGCATGGTGCAGAGTGGGGGCTGCTCTGCCAATGATTCCAGGGAGGTCTTCAAGAAACACATTGAGAAGCGGGTGCGCAGCCTGCCCGAGATTGATGGCCTCAGCAAGGAGACTGTGCTGAGCTCCTGGATGGCCAAGTTTGATGCCATCTACCGTGGGGAAGAGGACCCCAGGAAGCAGCAGGCCCGGATGACAGCCAGTGCAGCCTCTGAGCTGATTCTGAGCAAGGAGCAACTCTACGAGATGTTCCAGAACATTCTTGGGATCAAGAAGTTTGAGCATCAGCTCCTATACAATGCGTGCCAGGTAAGGTGTCTGTCACCTGGGCCCAGCACTCTGTGAGTGAGTGGGGTCACATTGTGACTTCTGCGTGCCCTAAGCACTGTTGTCTTCATGGCTGCTTCTTGATTTAAAAAAAAATTAAAAGTTATATTTTACAACCGCATCTGTAAAAATTGAATATAATCCAGGCCAGAATATGTTCATGTTTATCTTCTGGTTTTAAAAGAAATGAAAGCATTTTTGCAAGCCCCTAAAAGTGTTGTGGGCCGTAGGTACTGTGTATATCCTGTCTAATAGGTAGGTTGGTTTTATGAGTAAGGCCTGCCTCCTTTGTGTTTTCTGAAACAGCTGAAAGCTCAAAATAAGTTTTTAAAAAGATTGTTTTGCCTTTAAAATATATGATGCTTACCAGGTGCGTGGCCTATACTTCCTCAGCTTGGAAGCCAACTGAATTTAGTGCCTCCTCATCAAGAGTGATTATTTAAAATAGAAAGTCTCCAGAAAGCCTGAGTATTTCACATCATTACCATTGTATTAATCTCACTATGAATTTCCAAGTGGATTTGAGGGGGCTGGCTGAGACTATGCTTGGTCCCATCCAAGGTGGGTCTATATTTCCTCTGGATCAGGAGTTATTCGGTCAACAAATACGTGTTGAATGAGTACCTACTTTGCAGATTTTAATAAGTGTCACTTGGGAGCACTTTTCAAATTCACAGCCCCAGCCCCCAAACCTAGAGATTCTGATTCTGCCTTCTCAGGACAGGGCCCAGGAATCTGCACTAGGGTTTCCCTTCCTGGTAGTTTTATTGCCTTTCTCCTTTTAAGAACCATTGATGAAACTCTTGTACCTTAATTTCCCTGGGCTAACTCTGCCCCTAGGGTAGGTTAAATTAAGACATTATAACATATTGGCTGAGTTGTGCCTTGCTCAGAATCAGACAGACTTAGGTAACTCTTACCATGACCTTCACCGGCTTTGTGGCCTTGGGGAGTTAGTGAACCTCCTCACACATGAGCTTGGGATGAAATTTTTATAAGAATTCAGTGTGTGTAAAGCCCAGAGCAACATGGGATCCTTTATAAATGGTAGCTGTTAAAATATACAATAGTCTACCTGAAGAGTCAAAAAGTCAACAAACAGTATCAGAATAGTGCCTTAAAAGCTTAACATACGAACTACAATGTCGGTTGAGCATTGGACATTGGCTCAGGTCATGATCTCACAGTTCACGGGTTCGAGCCCTGCTTTGGGCTCTGTGCTGACAGCTTGGTGCCTGGAGCCTGCTTCAGATTCTGTGTCTCCCTCTCTCTTTGACCCTCTCCCTCTTGTGCTCCATCTTTCAAAAATAAATCCACCTTAAAAATTAAAAAACCCTACAGGATTTTGAGGCTTACTTCTTTCCTTCTTCATGGCTACGTTCTAGTTCAAGGAGCCAGCATCTCTTATAAGATGACCACAGTGTCTACCCAATGGGTGACCCCACCTCCCCTCTTACCTTACAATAATATGCCCACCACACACCAGCTAGAGCAAGGTTTTTCAAATAGAAATTGAACCTGGGGCACCTGGTTGACTTACTCAGTAAAGTGTCAGACTTGGTCTCAGCTCAGGTCTTGATCTCAAGGTTGTGTGGTCAAGCCTCACATGGTGCTCCATGGGGAGTATGGAGCTTCTTTAAAAAAATCACATGTGTATTATATTTTATATATATATAATGTAAATTATACATATGAATATAATATACAATATTATATATGTTAAGTATATAATATATAATATATAAATTTTATATCTGTATAATATATGGATCACATTGCTTTTCTGTTTAAGAATTCTAGTAGCACCCAACACATTTCGAGTGACATCCCAGCTCCTCACCAAGCCTTGAGGCAGAACATGAACCACTCATGCTCACACCATTTTTCCCACACGCTCACTCACTGGCTTTCTTTCTGTCTCCTCAACACACCAAACTGATTCTGGGTTTTTGCATTTGGTTTTCCTTCACCTTATAATGCTTTTGGCCAAGACCTTTCCATGACTACCACAGCTTAAATGTCACTTTCTTCAAGAGGTCTTCCAGGACCATCCCATCAGAACTGGGTTTCTTTGCCTACATCTCACAATCACTCTGTATCTCATCCTTTGTTCTGTTTTTAATCATAGCTTTTACCACTCTTTTCCATTTCTTATTCATCTGTTTTTACCTGTTTATTACCTGTCTCACACTTTGCTCCTTTTACCAGAGTGTTAGCCTTATGAAGGTGGTGATTCACCTTTGCCTTATTCACTTGTAATTGCCGTAGAAACGATGGCATGAAACAATTCTTGGCACATAGTGGGTGCTCAGTAATTGCCTACTGAATTAATAAATGAATGATTGCAGTTTATTTTAACTGGTAGATAGGGTCTTATTATCAGCCATGATAGCTTACCCAGAACTTTCTGGATATTTTAGTACGTAGGAATCTGTTTATCATTTCATAATACAATATATACATTATATTCCTATTTTCTTCTCAGTCAACTTGAATTCAGAATACTGATTGCCAACCCAAAGGTTGATATTTTCTTTGAGGGGTCAAGAAATATTTTGAACTGACCAAATAAATCTCAATATGAAATTAAATTAAAATTTTCCTTTTCTATAAAATATTACTACATCCCTACATGGCCCTTTTAGAATGGGATAAGCAGTTGATATTCCTACCTGTCACCAGGACCACCTTCTCTCCCATAAGAATATGGGCTGTCAAACCCTCTGCTTGAGTTATGAGTAACGCTCAAAATGACAGAGCTAGTTAGGGGCTCGTAAGCCTGCTAGTCACAAAATGATTCCAGAGACTAATTTTTCTTCTGATTACAGCAGCGTATTATGCTTATTTTCTGTCCTTGTTCAAACACCAGCATTCTTCGGATGAATACATCCCCATGCCCTGTCTTACCTCAGTGCTTTTGGGTAAGTGGCAGGATCGTGTTTTCCCCCTAAAGATGAATTATTTAGACTCACAATTTCAACATATTTTCCATGAGTTAGAAAAGAAACACGGTACAGTTGTTGACCTCAATAAAGAGGTAAACTGAGGCAAGCTCAAAATTGTCCAAGAGATGCGTGTATTTGGGAAGAGCAGAGGCATTGTAATTCAGGGCACACAGACTATGGCAGCTACAGGCGAGTCTGTTGAAGGTTTGGGGTAGGTGGTGTTTAAATCAGTCTCTCAGTCTTTAAGTTTCGTTTTCCTAAGGATGCGTGCATGAGATTTCTCATTTTTATGTCCTCTGGTTCCATTTTAGATTGAAATTCTTTCACATTTCCTCCTTTTGCTCAAGATCTTTTTCAGAAAACACCTCTGGTCAATTATTCCATGCATGTTTCTTTCTGTCTGTCTTTTCTTTCTCTCTTTCTTTTGTTCTTTCATTCTTTCGTTCTCTTGTTCTCTTATTCTTTCATTCTTTTCTTCTTTTTTAGTGTAATTGGATCCTAGGTAGATTGTATGCCGTGTCCCATGGAGCTTAGGAAGGTAGTGCTCAGGTGTCTTCTCCCATTAAGCTGAGGAGGACCATTTTCAGGAATCTTGTCCCATGGAGGAGGACAATGATGTAGGATTTTAGTCACCTCTCTTGAACAACAGGAGGATTGAAAATGAAAATTTTCAGCTATGTCCCTCTGAAGAGGACAGTTTAGTTCCCACTGTCCCTTGAACTCTAGAAAAAGTCTTTGGAAGGAAAATAATTTTATTTTGTACATACATTTGGGACTAAGGCATTTTTTGACTAATGCCAAACAGTAGAAATTTAATTAAAAAAGTAATCTAAGGACCAAAAACCCAGTAATAGCTATTGATTGAAATGCACTTTTCAACAAGCTTCCTCACCTGCTGTATTTAATTGATCAAAAATGTCCCAAGTTCCAGGAGCCTGGCCAACTACTACTAGCAACTGGATATTTTCCTTCATTATTTTTAGATCTTGTGTTTATTTTCCCTGAGTTACTGGCATAAAAACAACATTCGTCTCCAAGTAAGGCATGGGTTCCTCTCTGCTGAGCAGTGAGGAGGTTAAGGGCTCTGGAATTTTTGTAGGGCTATTTCAGCAAGGCTGCCTATTTGGGTTTGTTGATGTTCAAAAGCTCAGATAGAAGCACTGAGAGTGGTAGAGATAACTATAGAAAGATTGTGAATTGCTTTTTCAAGGTCTGCTACTCCAACCGAAGCTAAAAAGGTTCTGGCTGAAGCCTGTGCCCAACCCTTTCTATCTTCTGTAGGATCGTATGTAGCCAGCCATGCAAAATTATCACCTTCCGAGTTCTGACATGGCCTTTTAAGTTGATAGAAGACCACGGGTTAGGTATATAAGCAGTGATTGGAAGAGTTCTTCCAAATTCAGTCTCAGAGGTAAGGCCAGTGATCCCCAAACATCTCTTCCAGTTAAAGGGAAGTGTAGGGTACATGTTTCTTCCACATCAAAAGAAACACCCAGTGTCTTCTAAGGCACAGTTGGGTCTCTCTGCCCAGATATTTTTACCTGGAATAAAAGAGTATCTCATGATCAGAAATACAATTATTTATTCAGAGCACACCGCAATCTGATTCACTAGCATTGTGGGAATGATTCTGTGAGCACCTTATATATTTATGTAGATCTGAAGTAACAAGAGAGGTGATCTAGTGTAAGATTTTGGGGGAGATGTAGAAGATTTCTAGGAGAAAAATAAGTTTAATTAAGTTTCCTCCATTCCCCCCATTTTTTGTTAATTCCCAATTAAGTACTAATGAGTGGGAGTATGTCAGCTTCTCATTTTATAGTATTATTAGTTTTCATTGCCCCACTATAAAGATACATTAAGGTGATAGAATCTTCTGCATTCCTACGGGGAGAGAGTTCATGTTCACCTGGAGTATATAAAATGGTATAGTTACAAATATTTAGTGGGAGCTATTCATGAATTTTGCCATTCCCATCAAGTTTTTTTTTTTTTTAACAAATAGTTTATTGTCAAATTAGTTTCCACATAACACTC